ATACTTAATGTGATTAAGTAAAACTTTAGTTTACTTTGGTGTTCATTCAAATAATGTTAGAATTTATTTATGGTAGTTTTTTCGTTTGCTTACGGGATGCCGTCATGCTTTCGTGAGCGTTATTAAAAATTCTTTGGTAGTTTTTTACTATTTTCCAATTTTAACGGAACTAAGGAGAAGCATCTTTAAAAAAACTAAAAAAAAACAATTTTGATAGGCAGTCTTCTTTCTTGGTACCTAAGTAATTTTAGCAAAGTAAATGAAATTTTTAGAACGTTTAATGTTTTTTTTATTTAGTCTCAGGTTTACTTTTGTGAAATTTCAGATGTTTTTAAAATCTATTTAAACATGCAGCAACTTGCTTCATTTGAATAAAGATTTAACTAATATTCCATACCATTTCAGTTACTTATTACCTCAGATCATAGAAAGAGAATAGATATGAAGTCGCGCGTAACTACAACGAGAACCAGTGTCCCCACATTTCCCCCACCACAGCTCCCACACACACATTCAACTGTGTAAAAACAAAGCGACTGAGAGTCTACGACAACATGTGCAACCGGCTTAAAAGTGCTGTGATTGGCCAGAAGGCGTGCCTTATGGCCAATCAATGGCCGCGTGACGTGACGCACACTTTGAAAAAAGCAATTAGAGAGAAGAAAGATAAAATGGAGTCGATAAGATATCGATACTTTAAATCCTGGGGGCAAGGCTCGAAATTGGTTTAAAAAATGCTTGTATGAAAACCTTTTTATTATTATACGTTATTATTATGTTCTTTAACGATTTTTGCATAAAGGAGTCAGTTCCATTTTGTATGGACGAAAAACTCAGAATCAATTATTGGGACTAAATGAAGTTACCTTATATTAATTTACCCCAACCAAAGCTCAATGTCGTTATCGATGGAGTATAGAAGTTATAGACTGACAAAGTTTGTATGAAAAGTCATGGGTTAAGTAGGTACTTGCGATTTTTACCAGTATTTACAATATTGGTAATATATTATTATTTACTTTAATAATAATAACAGGATCACTGTAATTATTATTAACTACTATCGCGCATTAACTTTTTAATTATGGCGAAATTCGTACCGCCTATGTTTATCAAAAATAATGCCTATATTAGGCTTTCAACTAGCTCTTATAGTAATTACATAGTTGACAGTTACTAATCCCTTCTACTATTGTTATTGTTTTTGTAAAAACTTAAAAATCGCAAGCAACTCATGATTTTTTCATTCAAAATTAGAAAATAGAAAATAATAATTTACTTCTATTTATCGATAATAGGAAACCGTATTAGAACACGAGCCCTGCACTATGTTACGACCGGCACATGCGGCCGTACTGTGTATTTTCACGCGTCAGTGGATATCGGAAGAAATAAAATACATTGCGCAGTAGTTACGCATGACATAAAGTGGTTGCTAACTAAATCGTCAATGTACAACGTGTTTGAATTTTTATCACCACTAATTTCGATATCGCAGTAAATGTCACGGCACTGAATTCGTTCGTAAAAATGTTTAGTTTTTTTTATTTATAAGCAAAATACCAATGGATTTGCAATACTTACATGTGGTAAATGACTTCATTGTTCCTGTAGTTCTTCGTTTCACTTATGTTATTGCACGTTACGACGCATTATCCAACAATATCGGAGAACATTTCCTCAGTACGACTGAATCGCGACTAACCTGGCGTCGCGGGCGATGTTCGTTTCTGGGCATATCGCGGAGACACGCGCCACGCCCCCGTTTCACATCTATTCCCTTCTATGATCTGAGCTTATTACCTAATTAAAGGATTAAAATTATTTCAGTTATATTACTTTAGAACTTATTACTTCATACTGGCAACATTCTGACGTAAAAACAGCTTTACCTGCACCCTTGTGATCGGATTACCTCCCTCCGACTCAAGAGGGATAAGGGACGGCTCCTGCCGGGAACACGGGAATGAAGTAGTTATTACGGGATATGGGGAGAAAGTAGCGTGTAAACATGAAAATGGGGTGATTTGTGGCATTGGTTTGTTGATGGAATGTAAATCTTTGAGCTTTTCCGGGCATCTGAAGCTTCTGGATATTTTATGCTGTAGTGATAATTTGTTAAAAACTGTGACTTAGTTTGTTATTTTGTTAAGAGAGTGACTCCTTCTGGCACAGGTGCCATTACTGTTGCACTTACAAGAAAGAGTCTCCCTAATTAACCATTTTTCTTTTTTATTTTTTATTTTCTTTTGTTAGAAGATATTTAAGTCAATCTCTTTGATATTAGTACAGAAGTTCTGATACGATCACTTCTCATTATCATATCATAAGGATTAGTGCATTGAATGTGCGTAAACCTAATATTTTCACACAAGGAAATATGTAAAAATAAAGCAAATTAGGTCCCGGACAACGTCCAAAAAATATAACATACAGAAACATAAGCGTTTACAGTAAAAACGGACAAAACATAACAATTCTTTCAGCAAAGGTTGTTCCCAACAAATTGTATGCCATCAACAAACCTCCAAGTGTAGCTCATTCCGCGGACTGTTATCAAATGGCTGCTCAAAAACTGCAAAAAGAATTGGTAGAAACGCTCTAGACTGAAATGGCAACACCGATTAAAACTGGCCGCAAAAAGTCCGCCCAAATTGCTGTCAAAAAGAAGAAAAAACTTCCCGCGCAAACTGTAATCGTTGGAACGCGGGTATGAATGGGAATGTCCCGCCGTTTTCGCGCGGGTTTTGTTTATTCAACGTTCCATTGGTCCTCAGTATTGGCACGCTGACAGGAATTTTGGGTATTGTAAGTCGAAACTCGTAGGCAGGCTGGTGGCTGGCACGCTCGTCAAGCGAATAACTTTATTGGATGAAGCAGATGATGGAGTAACGCCTCGATTGTTTATAGTGCAGAAAAGACCTAAGAATATTGGATAGCCCTCATTAGGTAGGAAAGTTCTTTGAGATGGTTTCCATTATGGCTATCGCTGTAAGTTTGTATCGACCTAATAAATTGATAAGATAAAGTTTAGTATGACGCCGTTGATACTCATACAGCTTTGATTCTTCACTTTAGAAGTAGTAGGAACGCCAAGTCTTTTCCTGACTCTTAAGTGAAACTTAATTTTTGTTATTAATGATCTAGTTTAATTAAAGATAATATGAATCTTGGGTAAAGTGAAGTCACTTTAAAGAGTAGCCATGAGAAAATACACACAGGTAATTAATGTGCAAGCAGTACTCTCAAAAAATATTTTATTCGGTAATGTACACGGTTCTTACAAAAACCAGTTAATTTAGCCGCGGCGTGCTTATACGCACTATTTACTTAATGCCAAAAAATATTAATAATGATTTACTGACAAAAAGAAGACCAGACACAAAAAGCTGGAATTAATTGTTATAAATAGTTGGAATTTCAGATTTTTATTAGGTATACGTAAGTGTAATTGGAATTGAATTACACACATAACAAGTTTAGTAATAATAATATTACCGCAGTTACGTCTCCAGCTTGCCTCAGTCTAATATTAGATATAGAGCTTCCATGAGGAAACATTAGTTTGCCAGTAAAACCTTTCCTCGGATAATCTCTGCTTATTATCATAATATCATCTACCAGCCTTATGCATCTAACACTCATCGCTCCACCTTCATAAAATTCAAATGAACACATGCTTAGATGTTGACCAATCATTTAAGGAAGATTTTATTTATCTCCATTGATTTAATTTTAATTTTATTTATTTGGAAAACAAAACAGATTACATTCTTTACATGGTTTAAATAATACTTAAATGTAGATATAGACTAAAATGTAACCCTAAATATGTTTTCACAGATTTGTTATACATGCATTAGGTACAAAAATATATATATATATAATTTAAGTACATCAAATATGTGCAGACTGAACTGACCACGCATCCTTGTCATCAATATAGTCTCGAACCTTGTAGTACCCTTTGGACATAAGGGTATTTTTTATATGTATCTTAAATTTGTTTATTGGCAATTCGACAAGGTTGTGTGGTATTTTGTTAAATATGGTAATACATTTCCCCAAGAATGAATTACCTATCTTATGCAACCTAAATGATGGAACAGCAAGTTTATTCTTATGTCTCGTGTTAAATGAGTGGACGTCACTTTTCTTAGTAAATAAATGTATATGTTTACGGACATACATAATGTTATCAAATATGTATTGCGAAGCCACAGTCAATATATTGATTTCTTTAAAAACTTCTCTAAGCGATTGTGATTCGTGCTATTGCGGTTCGATTGCGGTTTAGGTTAGGATTTTCTGAAATGTTTCAATTCGTCTGCTCACATTCTCACCGTAAAATCCACAAATGGCTGGGGGGAATGCGGTGCACGAATGTGCGGATGTCATCTAAGCAACTGGACGTCCCATTGGCTCCAGCCAGGCCGATAGAGCGGCGGGAGTCGTAAAATGAATTTATTGCAGCTCGTAATCACGAAGTAATGGTCGATTTTCAAATGTCCTTTTTGCAATTGCTCTGGTTCACTTGTTCTTGCAAAAGGTATATTGACTCCTTATCTAGCAAGGTCTTTTTTAGTAAAATCTGCGTACATCCATGTTCTATTCTAATTCTAATCTCGTAGAGAGATCGTCTCGTGTAAGCCAGAACTCTTTTTTGACACGTCATGGAAACGGTTTTTGCAACACTTTGTTTGACGGACACTAGGCTACACAATTTTTTTTTAAAGATTATTGGTAATTTGTTATTACACAAATGACTAATACTTCCGTTAGCCCCTCGTACTAAAATAAATATGCTTGTATCATAGCGTGAGCGAGCGAGCGAGCGTGAGTGAGCTCACCACAATAGTCGAGCGGCGGCGGGGACCAAACCCGCGTGCGAATCACGAGTCGGCCAGTCCGACCCCTTCACCGTTCGGCTATCGTGGCTTCATTCATACTATGTATAAAGAATGCCTTAATTAACCAGTAAACATTATTGTTCCAGATCCAACTGACCTCCAGCATGGTGCGATGACCTGAAAGCGATGCTGCTGCAGCAGGCGTCGTCGTCGCCTGGTCCCAGCGGCACGGCCAGTCCCAAACTCCCTCCCAGCTCGCGTCCCAACCCCAGTCCCAGCTTCAGTTCCCGCCTGACTGGCAGCCCCAGCCTCAGCGATGGCGCCGGCTCCAGCCCCAGATTGGGCGCCAACAGCCCCATGTTGGGCGCCAACAGCCCCAAGTTGGGCGCCAGCCCGAAATTTGGAAGTCCGCGGCTGGGGTCGGGTAGCCCACGGACTGGGCGCACGGCGGTGGAAGACGAGGCTGCATTGGAGAGGCTGCAGGCCGAGCTGAAGGAAGGCTGGACGGTACACACGGGGAGAGATGGCAGACTGTATTATTGCAAGTAAGTGATGTCCTCGTATTTTCAGCGCTATTCTAAGTAGGATATCATCGTCATATAAACGAGTCATAACGTGTCACTTTTTGATAGATTGTGGTTCATATGTGGGCAGAACCGTCAAAATATTTACATGTCATGCATCAAGCAGCTATATTCAATCCCACGAATATTACATAACGTTTGTTTGGAACGCGACTTCCAACTTCGTATCATAAACGATCCCAGTATAAATCTGAGCCGGCTGCATCCAAATTGTTTCCATTTGCTTTGAAGTCTGGCTCCGAGCGTAGCTGCAGCTGAATGCGCAAACGGCCGCTTTGCAAAAAACAAATCATAACTTTACTTACCTTTACATGCACGTGGGCTTGCAAAAGGGAGATATTTTAAAACTTGCTCGTGCTATGCGCGATTTCGCTTTGAGTGTGGACATTCAGAGTTTAGACTATAGTCTTTTTCACCTAAGATGATCCGTATGACGTTTCGAGTTTGAAAGATTTAGAGATGTCACATAACTAAACCATAGCGATTTATCTATCGATTTTATTCGAAGAGTTAGTAAACCTACTTTTAGAGAAATATTTTGTATAGCCTCGTAAGCCCGGATGTGCATCAGAAGGAACTAAAACTTTGTAGTCAGTAACGCCGAGACATTTTCGGAGGTGATTTCGAAGTATCGCCGGATGTGCCTTCAGAGGAACTAAAACTTTAGCGATAAATTTAAGTTCAAAAATTCGCGCCTATCGAAAAAAAAGAGTGATAGTCTATGGCTTAAAGTATTCAAAATCAGGTATCCAAACTTATTAATATAAAAAAAACAAAACGTCACTGTCAAATTATCATTTTCCTTTGACAAGGTGGTTCGTCCGAGAAGACGTGATGTGCGATTATTTTTTTTTCTTCGCTTTAACGTAGTTTAATTGCAAAACTGATCAGTATAATTTAAGTTAAAATACTGCTAAACAAGCAAAAAATTATTTTTCCCAATTTGAAGTAGTTTTGTAATATTTTTTTTCGTTTGAAAATAATAGTTCTTTGCAAGGAACATTCGGTCTTGATGGTGAAAGTTTTATTTTTGTATATTTTTTCTATTGAGATGGAATTGAGTATTGGACTTTTAAAATTATGATATGATTGAGAAAATTTACCATGAGAACGTTCTGATTTTTAGTTTAGTAAATATTATAATTAACATGAATTTTCATTTTACTTCTTATACATTCTAACCTATAATTAGTGTATGTTATAAAACCGATAGTACTTTTAAAAGTACTAGTTATGAAACATTAAATAAAATAAAAACCGTTGTACCTTTTCAGTTACATTTATTAATATCATTATTGTATCTTTATGTAGGATTAATTTATTAAGAAGGTTACATTTATGTTTTAAAGTATAAAATACAATTTATTTACTTTTCCTTTTTAAAGTCTGTAATACCGAATGTTCTTTTAAGAGAAAACATTTTTTTATTATTTTTCACCTAAAATAAGCTCTATGCACTATTATATAGGGCCCCTGAAAATATGAATGCAAAAGAAAATCTCTAACATAGAAATTTTTTTACTCGAAGTGCTCGGCGTTTACTACTTCAAATTATTCGTTCTTCTGAAAGCATATCCGGCGATACTTAGAAGTCGACAAAATTTACTCTTCGGTCTTACGAGGATAGGTGTTATTTAACAAAAAAACATGTTTTTTTTAATTACAAATATTATTGTAACAATTTTTTATTGATAATATTCAAATTTCATGGTTCGTGTTAAAAAAAAACGATTCCTAAAAAGTACTGGTTCTGTTTATTTAAATTAAAAACTATTAATTTATTTTCAATGCGTTTATTAAAGTGAATAAACGAAAAATATAGTTGATTTTTGTGATGTTTTTAATAACTAAGTATTCACTGCAATCGATTAATGAACCGCGGAAATAATCGATTTTATTATACAAGAAATACCCCAGCACTAAATCTATTCCGTTTCACACATTGCGTACATTAAATAAAAAATATTTTTACAACGTATTTAATTAAAATATAATCAACAGACTCAGATTTTACTATATATTACAAGACAAGTAGTTAATTTTTTTTATTATATTGCTAATAAAATATAATTTTTTTTTTCAAAAATATTCTGCATATGTAGAATGCGTAATATGGATAACCTTGAAGTGTCATACGGATCATCTTACGTGAAAAAGACTATAGCGGTAGGGATTTATTTATTTTGTTTTTCTAAACAGCTACAATTTTCATATTCACAATCTCATAATATAGTGCAAACTATTATACTCGTACAATCTTTGCGCTTCATGAGACTAAAGCCCGTATTCACAAACGATGCTTGCTTAAGTGAAGCAGCAAATCGAACGCACAGCTAAACAGTTGAATAGAGCTCTGTGAATGGTTCGTGTGTCACCCTGTGTGTCCGCGTGCACTATGAGACCTCATAGTAATGTTTCGAATAAGTATGGTTAGGATTAATCTAAAAAGTATTTTAAATCTGTTACGTAATGGCGAGTTCTATTTTCTAAATGGAAATTGACATTTTGTTTTTTTCTTCTTCCAAATTTTGCCAGTACTTTTCGAAAATACATTTCACGTGGAAAATATCATGCGTACTTCCGGAAACACACGCGGCCCAGTGGCGCCACCTGCACAATGGGCGCTGTCACCGGAACAGGCAGTGACGTCAATATTCCGCTTTGTCCGCTGACAGCTGCTGGAAAATAGCGCTTCGTTGCGAAAAATGTGCCTCATTTCTCTAACACGTGGTAAATTTTTGTGTTATTATTACACAACAGTTCAAAGAAAAAATGTTTAATTTAAAAGGCTTGGTATGTAACAATCGATATTTTTGTTACCGGAAGAGTAAGGTGTGGGGTTTTTCTTTTTTCTTTGGACTTGTTTTATTATATTAATTTAATAGATTTTTTGTTTTAGTATTAAATTTGGCGACGTGATTCACGAGTATATGGTTTAATTTTAGAAAAAGGAAGTCCACTTCCTTTTTCTAAAATTAAACTATCTCCAGATAGTTTAATCATTTAATTACTTCATATTTCAATAATTATTTAAGTTTATTACGAGATTGTCTACAAATTGCGCCTAGTGATGGGTCACACATAGTTCGCGTGATCTCGATATTTCTTAATTAATTATTGTACTCCTACTTTTTTCTCCAAGTTATATCATAAGAAAAAGCAGTTTTTGTTGATTGCGGTTCGTACTATTTTATACTAATCTTGCTCTCGGTTAAAAACCTGTTTTCTTTCCTTAGGCTGTGGTGTGTAACCGTGCGTTAAAACTGAGGGTACTTTGTCAGCCGTCCGTCACTCACAGTCACAGACTCAGATGTTTTTTTTTATTTATCCTTAACAATATTTTGGTAGCTTAGATTTTACCAAAACGATTGTAGCAGCAACTTGACTGAGATTTACATACATTTAAGTATCTATTACGGCTCTCTTTCTACCTAATAAATTAATTATTAAACATAAGTGTGTGAGGATGACGTATTTTGGTTCATTTCAGTTTTCACGCAAAAACTACTGAACGGATTTTGATGAAAAACACTTTTTTAACTTAAAAAAAAAAACATGATTTGTGTATTTTAAATGTTCATCCAATACTAATTAAGACATAAAACACACCGTAGTATGTCGGAGTCAATGAAATTAACCCCAAACAAATTGGCCTCCAGCCAGCGCGGGCGCAGACGCGGTGACACAATAATTAATATCAATTAGGTAATGAGTGACACTTTATTTGAATTACCAACGTGAGGGCTGAATTTGAAGCGAAAGTAAACACGTAGGATTTTAAGTTTATTTACCTTATAACTCGAAAAAAAAAACTATACAAGATAATATAGAAAAACTTTTAATAAGCTTTTTTTGATTCATCGTAGTGATGTCATTAGGACGCATAGTTTCCGAGGATTAAGCGAAAAACCGAAAAATGGTACCTTTAAAAAACCCCCCTCTCCCCGCCGCCGGCTAAAGGGCTAAGGGCGGGGACTTTTGCTACCTTCATCTCCTAACTAGTCTAAATAAAGTCCCGAAGTCAGAAATTGTGTTCCACGGATTTCCCTCTATAATGCTTTATTGACTGGACTATTAAGATTTTATCTTTCTCCTAGATCTTATCAAATGCTATATCAAAATTGATAAACATTAATTTGGCGTTTTAGGGACACTACTAGACAGTACATCAAGCTAAACACTGCAGGATCTTATGCAATTGTAATAGGTATTACTTTGCAACAAAAATATTGTAAGTAAGTACTGTTGACTGTACATTATTTTTATCGAGTACATTTTTAATACTTTGCTCTATGTGTACAAACTGATACTTCTAAAACAGCAATCTCAATTAATATTTTACACTCTTTGCCTTTACTTAAATAGAGTTTACTACGATCCGTTCATATGATATAGTTATCTATAGGGTGTTTTGGACCCCACCTTGCCATGCAGGGTTAATTTATATCCTCAGTGGCACATGCTAAGAAAATTAATAGTCCTTCTGCGGCGTGTTCCGAAAACACTTGGGGTCTATTCGACCCCGAACACAGATTTGTGCGACACGAAGAATTTATGTTTTATGTTTGTTTGTTGATGGTGGTTTTACTTGTAGTAAGTAAGTATAGGCAGGCATAAAATATTATTATCAAAACGTTTTCACAAAATGCGGTTCTTATTGAACTACTCTTATTTCTTAAGCAAGTGAATATATTTCAACTATTTCGACATTATCTTGTTATACAGATACAAGTAGGTACATGTGTATACACAATGATAAATGAAACCCATGTTCTGATTAAAATTCAAACTAATTATTCCTGTCGGTTCCATGTTCCATGATAGTTTAATGTGACTTATTTGGGTATGATAGACATTTGAATGTTAAGTAAAATAAACATTCAATTCAGCAATTCACAGAACCATTTGATCGCAACATTCACTGTTTTTACAGTCTGTTTTGTTTTCGCAGTCCCATGAAAAGTA